GGGGTGAGTGAAGAAGTTTTGTGTTGTAGTGTGGGAGGGGAGAGGGGGTGGAAATCAACATCCTAGGACATGATATGTATATTTCTACTGTATCTCCCTTTTGTCTGCTATTACTTTGTTTTCTGAATGTATCCCCTGTATACTTAAAAAAGAACTTTTGACCCATTTTTTCTTGAAGGAAGGAGGTGGAATTCAGATTTAAATGACGCAATTCTGAGCTGGATCAAAAAGCACATAATATTTTGAAAAGCTTACAGTATTTTTTGTTGTTGTTTTATTTTTTGAAGAAATTAGACCTCGCATGACTTCTTGAAAGTTGAGGTTTTAACTCAAGTTTGGTCAGAACTTTTCTGGTCCTTTTTGTTTAAACTTTGTTCCAAACCCGGTGCCCTGACAGGTGGGGGCTAACTTCTCCACCTTCAAACTAACGTATTCCATGTCTAGTCACACTTTTTACAGCTTTTCAGAAATATATAAAAACATGAAAAGACAATTCACGCAAAGAAAAAAAACACATGAAAAAGAAAAGTTCAAAAAGAGAAAATGACTGAATGAAATTAAATTGAATAGAAGAATTAATTAGGTGGGGGGAAAAAATGAAAAGAAAAAGACATGAACAAAAGAAATTTAGAAAGAAAGAAAAAAAATCATAAGAATAAATGAACATGAAAGGAAGAGCTACGTGTAATTGGAAAAGAAAAAAATCACGAATAGAAAAAAGGCATAAACTGAAGAAATTCCCCCCCAAAAAAAAAATCCTGCTGATGGACATCCTAGAGGTAACGAAGATAAAGAAACTGATAGCTCTGCGCTATGTATGTCTGGATAGGTCAAAGATTGGGTAGTGAGTGATGTGACTTGGGAGGAACAGATCCCACTTCCATGTGTGGAATAATTAAAATAATTATGATTGGTCTATACAGGTGATTGTCGGATCAGGTTCTATTGTAATTTTCTGTGGTGCATAAGTTCACCTCACTCAGTATTTTTGGTGTGGCCCCCGGCTGCTACTTTAACTCATTCGGGACGCATCGCCGATAGCCTTGAGCTCCGTTGTAGACATATCGGACAACGATAGCATTTCTCAACGTTTGTATCCGCACAAATGAAGATATTGCAGGTAACAAACTTGTGGTTGACATTGCTAAGCCATATTTTATTCTGTATTTATTTACTTTTGACGGTGTAGGGTCGTTTTTTGTAATTTTCTGTGGGGATTTATGAAGGCAGTGGGGGCGACAAAGAACATGTACCTGTGATTAGTACCATACAAAGAATGACTATTCACAATGACTGAAACTATTTCTTCACAGTATTTGGACTGTAAATTGCGTTGGGATGTTTTTTTAGGTGCGTTATAGTTGTGTTGTAACTTTTATCTTGTTTGTTTCTGCACTTCTTCACTGTCAACTTAGAGGAAAAAAGTATTCTTTTTATCTCTCGTACACCATTTTTATAGGGGTCCTGGCAAGTTTAACAATTAATCCAGGCAAATTGGGTTAGATCTAAGGCAAAGCCCAAATGTTGAATGTATAGATAGTGAAAACAGATTTTTAAAATATGAAAAGGGGAAAAAATGGCAGACTTTCAAAGTTGACAGAAAATCGCGCTTCTCCGGGTGCAAATCCGGTCCAAAACCTGCGTCCCGAATGAGTTAAAGGAGAGAAGTTGTCACAGGTCAGCTGAGTGGGTCAAGAGTGTCCAAGGATTCCTAGTGCCATTACTTCCTCTTGTGCAATAAATGTATTCCTCTCATTTGAATGGAGTGGGTTAATGAATGCATAGGTTCGTTTAGTTTTATACATACGAAAGTTGCCATGAGTCGTGATTGAACTTCGTTGTATATTGTTCACCAATATTTTTTTTAGAAGCCTCACTCCTTTTGATACAGAGGTGCTTTTGGTATTAGTAGAAAGTGGCCATAAGGTGTGCATGAATGTTTGTATATTGTTCATTTATTTATTTCTGCCTCACTTGGTTCGATTTTTGTGGTTTTATTTATTATTTGGAACAGCAAGGGGTGTATTTTAAAAGGGCCGGGGGGGGGGAGTGGAAGGGGAAACATGTTCTGTGTTCAACAGCTGAAATGAATGAATTTGATTTTTTAAGACTTGACTTCCATGCCTTATGTTTTACAACAGAATAGATAATGGTGCTGTAGAAGTGGCTCAGTTTGGTGGAGGAGTTTCTTGGACATTGTGAAGTTCCTCTGGGAAAATGTCCACTTTTAAAACTGAATCACAGAACACAGAAATTGAAAAATCCTTAAACTTTTTTGATATATGTGTGTGTGTCATTTTGAATATGTGGAGATTTTTGCCTAGTGGGGAGACTGATGCTACTCACGGCTAAAGTTGAAGAACTTGTGTCAGAGAAATTCACTGTTCGTACTGAATTTTGTCATTTTTGTGGACAAAAAGAAGGAACTTTGTAGCAAGATTTTAGAATGTTTCAAAAGTACTTTTTGCTGATAATGTGCTTTGTACTTGATGATGATATAAGACAAAATGATCAGTTAATTAAGCCTACCAAAATGATAAAACATGCCTCTTAATTTTTTTAAAACTACTATTCAATATCCAGTAGTCACACCATGAATAGCTGATGGGCTTTTGACAGTCAAAGGCCAGTGAATATTATTCCAAGAAATCAAAATTATGCTCTTGCAATGAGCAACCCTTCCATTATTCGAAATTGGAAGCGTTCCTGAATGGCGATGTGATGTCATCATATAGCGCTGTGTGCCAGCCAGGTCATCACATGCTTGATGAACAGCGCTGTGAATCATTAGTGAAAATTGAATTGCGGAAATTGTAGATGGGCGTATCATAATGTTGTTGGTTTTTTAAAAATCCGATCACGTACGGTATTCGAATAGAATGAAAAGCAGCGTAAAAACTTGGAAGCATTGATTATGTTTAATTTTTTGGTAATCACAGAAAGAGCAGTAGTGGACGCTGTGTGAAGCTCCTCCCCTCACCCATCTCTTCATGTTCGGTGTCGTAGATTTAGAGTAACTCACATTCCATTGTAACCCCTCACAACCTGCAGTGAAATGACTATAAATAATTCTTGTAACATTAATGATTGATATTAATGATTGTTCTGTTACTCTTGTTGAAATGGAAAGGTAATTGCATGCATGTCAGTGTGCTTTTCTTTACTCATACTAACAAATGAACAAGTAGGCTTTTCTTTTTTTCTTCCAAGCAACCAGTTGTACAAAAAACAAATGAAAATTATTGGAAAAACTAATCAAAGTGATACTTGTGTCATGGAGATACAGACATCAGTGAGTGTTTGAGGCACAGCTAGCTGATACATTGCCGGTATTGTTTTTAAAAATGACAAAAGGAATTCTTTCACGTGATGGCTTCACATGATGGTTTCACATGATGGTTTCACATGATGCGTTTCCAATGATAAGCAGGTACCACACAAAGCATCTACTTAAAGTTTTTCTTCTTATTATTATTATGAAAAATGTAGTCCTTTTATGACCTCAACATGCAGGTTTAAAGGAAAAAATCCAGCAAATAAGAACAACAAAAACTGCAAAAATAACCAGCCTGACACATAAATGATCTAAATTATGCTGATGAGGGTGTAAAATATTTCCAACAAATCCTTCTCAGCGACTAAGCGTCGGTTTGATTGGTTTTTCAAGTCAACTGTTACAGTCAACAAATACCTTATTTCCACTCTGTATGCTTGAGTCTTGTGTTGTATTTTTTTCCCTGCAGTCAACGAGTTTGGAAAGTTTGGAATGGAACTGATTTCTTTCCCCCAAACACGTTTTGTAGATAGCCCAGATTTGTTAACTTGTTTTGTGCGGATTGAGGGATTTTTAAAACTTTTGGTTTGGTTGTTTTTTTGGTGCTAGATTTTTAATTTTTTGCTTAGATGTCCATTTTTGCTTGAGCCCCCGGATATGTTGCACCAAGGAAGTCAACTGCCGATAGTGCTTTCAACTTTTATTTCATGATCGAGTGAAGACAAGATTTTTATGCCTTGTAAAGAATGAAATTGGTGTCTGCCTGATACAGGTCTAGCTGTTGGGGTCTTCATTCGGAATGTTTGTTTGTTTGTTTTAGTAGCGGTTTTACGGCGCTCGCAACTGCGTACGGTCATATTAACGGTTTCTTCCACAACAGTTCATTGCACGGCTTGGTTCAGGTCAACGATCAGATTTTTAAGTGTTAAAAACTTGTACCTCAAATCTAAAAATGGTAATCTGCTTAAAATCGAAATATTATATGTATTTACAATTTTCCGTAGAGGACAATGGCCTTTATAAAATTAAAGATTCTCTTGGGATCAACAACGGAAAACAGGTCTTGTAATTTTTTGCTTGTAAAATATTTCCTTCTTGTCATTGGAAATATATTTGACCTACCACGCACATGTCATCTGGGTTCTCCACGAAGTCTGGGGCCAACACATCGCGACCTCAGTGCTTTCTTATTGTATCTCCATTGTTAATAACAGGGAAAACAGTTCATAACAAAGAGTGAGCT